CAGAAAATTAAGACCAGACTCTTGGGTGGGTTTAATTACATTTGTCTTCCTTACCTTACATTAGCATTATTTATAAGGGAGCAGGAATAAATTGTTATAGGTTGAGAACAAATATAGTGAAGTTCTCCATCCCCAACCCCAACCCCAATCTCTATTCCTTTACCTGACTTTAATTTTCTTTCATAGTAGACATGTCTTTGGTTACTTGTTTGGTTTTTTTGTCTCTCCTTCCATAGTCACATGAAAGCAGAGACTTTGTATTGTTTATTCCAAATGACCAAAACAGTACATAGTAGGTGTTCAATAAATATCTGTTGGTTGAATGGGTGGAAACATAACTTTCATTCAATTAACTATGATTTAATGAGAAAAAAAAAGCACAACAGTTTGATATAGGTCTGGCACTGCTAGGGAAGAAGGTGCCCACATCACAGATGTAGCTTATTCCTTGAAGAAACATACCTTTTAAGTTTTTTGATACAAAAGAACCCAGCTAAGATATTCTATATTCCAATACTTTGATATTTTATAAGATAGCAGAGCACACAGATGACTATGAAGATAACAAAGAACCAATAAAAGAACCAACATCAAGGAGCATCAGACACCGTAGGTGCTACTGTCTTCATTGACACAGAAGCTCCTTTATGCCTGATGCCTTTTAGAACTTTGAAACCAACTAATTCTATCACATCTCTAAAGTCTGTGTGACCTTGTGCAAATTCCTTAATTCCCTTACCTTCAGTTTCTCTATTCATACTATTGCATAAAAATAGTACCTACCTCATGTTTAAACGAGATAATATATCAGCAATATTAGCAAGTGATACTAGCACTTAGTGCCTAATAGTTTTGATATTATATATGACACTAGAGGCCCATGCACAAAAATTTGTGCACTTGGGGGGTCCCTCAGCCCAGCCTGTGCCCTCTCACAGTCTGGGACCCCTCAGAGGATGTCCACCTGCTGGCTTAGGCCCACTCTCCGGGGGATCAGACCTAAGCTGGCAGTCAGACATCCCTCTGGCAGCCCAGGAGCCCTCGGGGGATGTCCACTTGACAGCAGGGAGCAGGCCTAGCTGCAGTCGAACATCCTTAGCGCTGCTGAGGAGGCAGGAGAGGCTCCCGCCACCACCGCTGTGCTGGCAGCCAGCAGCCTGGCTTGTGGCTGAGCAGAGCTCCCCCTATGGGAGCATACTGACCACCAGGGGGCAGCTCCTGCATTGAGCGTCTGTCCCCTGGTGGTCAGTGTGTGTCATAGTGACCAGTCATTCCCAGTCATCCCGCTGTTAGTTAGGGTCAATTTGCATATTACCCTTTTATTATATAGGATGATTAACATCAAAATCCAAACCCTTGCATTCATCTTCCCTTCTCCTCCTTCTCATTATTCCATCCCAATACTGTTTTGTGCCTCCAACTCATCTCCATGATGTCCTGCTCTTGGACAACTCTTCCATGTCCTTCCATCTTTCACTCCCCTGACTCCTTGCCTCAGTTCAAACCTGAGTCTATGGCAAGAACATCACCTATCCTATGATCTTCTCAAGTCAACCACAGGGCCAGGAACAGGTGGAGACCGGCATTCTTGTGCTTCTTGACGGGACTTCTCCATTCCTACACACCTTTCCCATCGCCTCCTTTGAAGGACATGTATGACCATCTACCTACCCTCCCTCTGGCTGTGAATTGGACTTGATCAATTCTTCACATTCCTTGAAGACTTTCGCATAGTCTTAGAGCTTCCCCTTTTACTTCTGTTTCTGGCATCAGTTTAGACAACTTCACACCAGAATGCACTTATAAAGTGGTTTTGTCCCCCACCCCCAGTGAAGTTTTAAGCCAGCCTTTATTTCTAAGAGTCAGAGGACATGCTAAATGACACCATAGAAATGCAATCAATAAAACCCAGAAGTTGGGAAACTTTAGAACAATTGTCCTGGTTTCTCCAAAAAATAAATTGCAAAAGAAAAATAGAGGGGATGAGGGTGGTGATAAGAAACATAGATTAAAAGTAAAAAGCAACAAACAAATGCAGTGTATGAACTTTATTGGGTCTTCATTCAAACAAATCAACTACCAAAAAATAAAAATAAAAGTAACAACCTTTAAAAAAAATACATAGAAATTTGAACATTGACTGGATATTTGGTGATATTAAGAATTTAGTGTTCATCTTTTAATCTATGATAATGAAATTGTTATTGTATTCTTAAAAATCTCCCATAGTAACAAAAATGTTACTAGAAATTAAGAAGTTCCATAATAATAAAGGATCAATCCATCTGGAAGATACAATACCTCAAAATGCATGAAACAAAAACTGACAAAACTGCAAAGAAGACTAAAAGTTGGATACATCAATATCATATATTCAATAATAAGTAAAAAAAAAAACAACTAGACAGAAGATCCACAAGAAAATGGAATACTTGAACAACACTCTAAGCCAAGTAGATCAAATACCCTCTCACTTGACACTGTAATGTTAGCATTGTGATTAATAGCATTCTGGCCTAGAAATTTCAGGCTCCAGAACCTCAGGTAATAGTTATTAGTATTTCTGGTCCCAAAAGATTCAGACACTGTCACAGCACTAAAAAAAATATGCTCCTTTTCTGGCTTTGCCGGGCTCACCTGGTGAGGCCTCCCAGCAATCAGCAATGGACCTCACTGGCCATGTGGTTCGAAGAGAGGATGGCTGGTGGGGGTTCAAGGGAGGGTGGTCTGAGATGATTCTCAGAAATCACAAAACTCTCTCTTCTGTGCCCTTTTTTCCCCATGGCTTTTCTGAAGTCTCACCATTTCTCACCTTGCTCATTGAAACTCTCCCTGGTACCTCTGCTTCCATCTTCCTTCCTACTGCCCCTTCGTCCTCCTTTGACTTTTTCAATGGTTCCCAAGTTTCCACATTCAAGTTCAAACCACTACACTTAGTTGAGGTAACAGTTTCATTTAATCTGCAACTACTCCGCTCCTACCCCTGCTCCACCCAGGATTGCTCAGTTGGTGGCATGGTTAGTATATTGGGTGAGGCAGTTCTTCATTGTGCAAGACTGTCCTGTGCACTTCAATAGGTTTAACATTCCTGTCTCTTGCCCACTGAATACCTCTAGTACCCCTCCAGATATTGTGACAAATAAAAAATGCCCCCAGATATTTCCAAACACCTCTGTTGTCCCTTTACAACTGGGTGGCTGCTACTGGTCCCTCATACCTCAGCTCAAGTATGAACTGAACCATACACAAATGCCATCATCATAGTTCAAGAACATCATACATTGGCCATTTAATATGGTTCAACTGATTATTCTTTCCTTCTGGAAGCCCTCACGTCGAATGCCCTTCAGCACTCTGTGACTTTCATTATTCAAGTGCTAATCACCATGTGTCATAATAGCTGGTTCACTTGTCATCCCCTCCTTCTAACCACACTTCTCAACCCTAATTACCTGGGAGCAAAGATCAAGTCTTGAATTTGCCTCTTGGTATCTCAGCTTCCTTTGGCTCAGGGCCTGGCATATAGCAGATACTAAAGTAAACCCATGTTCTATGAATAAACAAACAGGATATTGAGCATACTTTCCCTGATGATTCAATGTTACTATTCCTGGGAGATGTCTTCAGAGATTATTGAGCCACTTAACAGGTTTGGGCTCTCCACTAAATAACCCACCACTGCTCTGCTTTATGGATTTGCGTGTCTGGGTTTTGCATCATATCATCCGGGTTCCTGCCTCCAGTGATCTTCCCAGGGGCCTTTGGCATCTGAAGCAGATTGCCCAAGTGCAGTGTGGGGGCACAGCATAAACTTTGGTAACTACACTGGTTCAGGGTCCTTTTGTCTTGTTTCTGGGTTCTCGCTAGCTTTCACACATCTGAAGTCTGTCCTCTGGTTAGTGAGGCTCTATCAGGTTCTAAGAACATTTTGCACGGTCATGTTCTTTTTGGAAACAACTGAAAGATGCCTCAGTAGAACTTTTGAAGTAGAAGAATATTACTGTGCTGAAATGCCCATTTCTAGATCCCTAGCTGGTGACAAAATGATGGACTAAGAGATTTTTCTCAAGGCAATTTCAAAATGGTTGTTCTGTCTCTGTAGTCACAAAGTATATGGGTGCATTTATATATATTTTTTCTTTTTTGCAGAATGCTGTCCTTTTTAATGGTCTAAATGTAGGAAGGGGCAAACATCTAGGAATGTTACAACATTTTTAAAACCTTCTAAAATATCCACATATTCCAAGATTTTTACATCAATGGACTTTGATCATGCAGACAAATAGGTGCAATTTTTATTTTAAAAGTTTTATATCAATAAACACTGAGCTATGAAACTCAGCTATAGGATCTTTCTAATTTCTGATTTGGATGACTCTGAATCAAAAAACCCACTTTCCATTAGAATTCACAGAGAATGAAGTCCTAGACCATCAGGGATAGAGATAAAAGTAATAAGTAGGCAGAAGTAAATAGGAAATACAAATTTTCAGAAAATGTTTATATTTCCTACTAGATCTTTAATTTTTATATATATCTTAAATACCATATAACTCAATCAACAAACAATTTTTGGTTATTTCTTTTAGTTTTAGTATTTATTCTCATCATTTTTCTCTTTTACAGGTAATTACAACAATTTAGGAAACAAAACTACAAACAGAAGAATGTTAAATAGTTTTTTTAAAAAGAGTTGCTGCTTGCAAAAAACGTTTATATAATCTTATTCCTCCAAGCATAATTTTATACCTCCTACTAAACTAAGTAGCTTATGAGAAATTATTATTAAATAGTAAAACATACACACAAAAGGCCGACATATATAAATAACTTAACATGAAATAGTTTGGCTGTAATGCAATGTCTAACAAAGTAAAGTATGATGCAATATGTATCAACTTCATTAACTGGATAAGCCCAATGACACAAATCAGATAACTGCTAAACCCTCAACAATGTGCAGTGAAACCACCAACTCCAGCGAGGTTCTTTTTGTTTTGGGGCTGTATCCAATTTCATTCCAAAGAGCATCTGTTTTTACATCTTCTTGACTCTTTGGCTGTAAAGAGAAAGAGAAGAAACAAATAAGCAAAAACAGGGTGACTGGCTGGTAGGAAAGGCTGTGGTACCTAACAGTTGCCTCTCGTTCCCTAATCTCATCTCAGGATGCCAACCAGCTCTGAGTGCAGATGAGGACATTGAAGTTCAGAGAGGAAGGGCCTGGACCATCATAACACAGTTAGTGATGACAGAAACAAGATGTGAACACTTATAGTATGTCTTCAAATTCCATGTCTATAGCACTGTGAAGTTAGGTGATTTCTGTCCATTGATAAAAGGTGGCTCTATTATCATCAATGTAAATCAACACCATTGTTCTCTTTTTCATTGTTTATATTTCAGTTTTTAACAAACGAATGTAAATTATATAAACAGGAGATATTTTTGCAACAAGAATCAAATAGCTTGTGACTATCAAATGCATAGAGGAATTTAGTATGTCGTGTGAAAAAATCACTAAGTTTAAAAAAAATAAAAATGATTTCTAAGTGGAAAAAAGTGAATTTTTGTTTTGATTGTTCAACTCAAATTTCCCTTTTAAAAATTCACAGTGCGTAAGCTGGAAAACACCAGCAAGCCTAGGATCCACTGCTCTGCACACTGCTCTTGCCCCAGATGTTCGGAGAGAGGCTACTAGATTGGGAATGCTTCATACCTGAGGGCGTGCACAACATGTTTCACCCATTTCTTCTTTGGATCTGCACACACAGCCAACCCTTTCTTTGTGTAAAAGCTGAAAAATCAGAAAATTTGATTTGTGTTTAAAGAGCTTCAAATGGCTTTTTCACCAAACATGCAATGGAAATTTCGTATTCAAATTGATAGTTCTATGCACTAAGCATTTCATTTATATCACAGGTGAAACAAAATGCAAAAAAAAAAAATCCATATTATCTCGATAAAGCTTGATGCAAGAAATAAAAGGGATGCTTCTGGAAACCAAGGTCAACAGTAATTGATATAAATGTGAGGAGGCTGGCAGAAGGCTGGCCTGGATTCCTTTGATATTCACAGGGTGAATATTTACATTTTATTACCTACTGCTGACTCAATGGCCCAAAGCAAACTCCCCCCAAACCTGGTAATCTTACTGTTTACTAAACATTACCATTGATATGTCTGTTTGCATTCCTAAAAGGCAATTGTGTACTCTAGTAAATAAAAGCAGCTGGGAAACAGAGACTCAGCGGAACTTGACTACTATAGTTGAGTTTTTCCCTGGCTTCCCCCCATAATTTCAAAACTATTATTTCTTATCTTGTATGTCAATTTGCGCATCAGCTCTTTCTCCAAGCCTTTGAACCCGAAAGCCATGCTGGCTCGGCAGTTTAACAAATGCATTTTTAATGAAATTTTCTGTTCAATGGCAGAAAATAAAGTCCCAGAATATATATATATATATATATATATATATATATATATATATATATATGTGTGTGTATATGTATGTATGTATATATATATATTTTTTCAATAACAAATTATCCCAAAGTATAAATCAAGACTATTATATGTGACAGTACAATTACTCTGAGTTTTTACTTATAGCCTCAACCATTTTCTGGTAGAAGATTATCATTTTAAAGTCTTGCCGAAACCGGTTTGGCTCAGTGGATAGAGCGTCGGCCTGCGGACTGAGGGGTCCCAGGTTCGATTCCGGTCAAGGGCATGTACCTGGGTTGCGGGCGCATCCCCAGTGGGGGATGTGCAGGAGGCAGCTGGTCGATGTTTCTCTCTCATCGATATTTCTGACTCTCTATCTCTCTCCCTTCCTCTCTGTAAAAAATCAATAAAATATATTTAAAAAAAAAAAAAAAAAAAAAAAATAAAGTCTAGTCTATGTTTTATATATTTTCTGGAGCTATCACGTTAGTAGCCTATTATTTTATCTCGAAAATTATTTTGCCCCCTACTGTGCTGCTTTTTTTAAAGCAAAAACCTTTGCCTTAGAGCAGTCTTATTTAAAGTGAGCTTTGAGTCAAGTCTCCTTCCTTCACCATGGAAGAAGACTTGACTTGGGGTGGTGATCACACAATGCACTCTACAGACGATATACTGTAGAATTGTACACATGAAGCCTATATAATTTTTTAACCAATGCCAACCCAACAAATTTAATAAAATTAAATATCTATAAAAAGTGAGCTTTGAAATAGACAGGCACTATTAAAACATATCTTTGCCACATCTCATATTTCTGAGTGAAACTCAAAAAAGGCAAAAATTTTTATGCCTGAAATTCCCATGTACTCGGATACAATTGAGTTAAAAGCAGTTAATAACTTACATGACTGCATCGATGTCACAAGCATCATTGGCCCACTGCTGTGAGAAGCCCTTGATAAATCTGCTAGGAATGACTTGTTCAGTATATCGAAGGCAGCAATCGAAGGAGCTTGCTGCTAAAAAGAAATGAACAGTGTTGAGTCCATATGAATGAACTATTCTGTGACAGGTATTATGAAACTACTTGTAGTTGTGGGGAAGCCTAGAATCTGATCTATGTGGTAAACTATTTAAAGGAGGAGTTTCAGTGTCTTTGAGACTGAATTAAACACAGTTCTCAGTTCTCAAAAAAAATAGTTTGTGTGCTGGGAAATTTTGGTTCAATAATATAGTTTAGAAGCACATGACTTCTCATAAAGGGAAAATCTTTAGTAAGAAACACAAACAGGCTCTCTTATTTCAATCCACTATAATTACTCAAGAATATGAGTAACTCTCACATGAAGAAATTCATAGATAATCTTTCAAATTGGCAGATTTTCATCTATCATCTTGGAGCTGAGTACTGAGAGGAATGAAAGGATGACTTTACAAAGGAAAATGTGATTCATAAAAGCTGCTTTTATATGAGCTATAAATAAAGCAATTTGAAATTATAAGAGTTCATAGAAATTTTTCATTTTGTTCATTTTTAGGAATGCACCTGTTGCTAAAAAGTGATGCTCTCTTACAACAATGAAGCAATACTTGGACACTCCTCCTGTTGAATTATAACCTGCTATAAGATAGGGGATAAATGTTATCACAGAGTTGGCAAGTGATGTTCCAGAGGCCTTGCAAGCATGAAGAACTCAGGTGCCATAATCCACCCCTAAGTAATGAGTTTTGAATTTTGCTGAAACTATTTAGTTGGGAGATGAGAAAGTTGGGGAAGTGGGAGCGTTCCTTACATTTCAGAATGACCCCATTCACAGGTAATGCTCCTCAATTTACACCATCCCAGAAATAGCAGTTTGGCAGTATTCTGGAGCTTAGGGGTCTCTGTGAGCCCACCCCCACCCCCAACCTGCTGTGATTGACAGCAGAGAAGAAAGCCTGGCCAGCAGCAGGAACCTTTCCCTCCTTCACTCACCAATGAGCTGACAACTCCCATGACTCCCTTTTGAAAACTTTCTAACAGGCTTCTGTCCTCTGGGGACACCCCAGATGAGTTCAAGGCTTAGAAGAAAATGAAAATAGTTCTTCCTGCCCTGCGAGCAGAAAGAGTGACACCTACCTTCTGTCTCACTGCAGAAGTGGAATAGCAGCACTGACATCAAAGCAGCCAGGAGCAAACTCTTGCTATAGCCCATCATTTTCAGCTCAAAGAATAGAAGTGCTCAGTGCTGGGTACCCAGTTCTCTGGGGTGTTGTGGTATTCTGATTGCAACCTGGGACTGAGATGGCACTACTTATAGCAAATATTGGGAATGTACACAAAAGGCGTGTTCTCCCATGGGGTTTTCCCCATTGCTGGACCTGCCCCATCATGTTGTCACACACACACACACACACACACACACACACACACACACGGAAAACTTCCTGCCTGGGAAGGTATGAAGGTCAGTGTTGGGGTGGGGGGAGAAGGGGGAAATCCTGTTACATCCTTTGAAGATTCCTATCTAGTTTTAACTTAATCTCTTGTCTCTGCAAAGAGAGGATAAGAGTTAACAATAGTACAAACACACAGGAACATTCCAGAACTCCTATTGTTATACTCTATTTGCTTTCCAAAGCCAATCAGAGAGGGGGAGGACGGAGTAGGATTCCAGGCATACTCAGGAACCATTCACAATTGCAAAACTGGAACTCAGCTGCCACCAAAAACCTTGAATTTCTAGGCTTCCTTTCAGAGCTGGTAATATAACAATGCTGTAGTAGTTCCCCAATTTTTGTGGAAAATGCTAACCCTTAAGTAAGACTCAAGCTTAAGCTTCATCTTGAATTTGTGACAAGTCTTCTAAGAATCTACTACATTTACATGACTCTAATCAATATTTCAGCCCAGAAAATAATTCCCACCATCCCTAAACGCTTCATGCTAATGTAGTTATATCATTAATCCAAAGTTCAGAAAGGTTGGAAAAGAAGAAAGACTATCAGCAATGATTAATCAACAAAAGAAATGTCAAATAATAGTGATAATGATAACAATGGCAATAAGCATTCCTAACCTATGATGGTGTAATAAAAATTTTCCACTAGGGAGAATATCATTGTATCCTAGGGATTGGCTTGCAGGACATGTGAACTGTAAAGAAACAACACAAGAGAGCTTTGGGGGTAATATAATTAGTTTCTGTCCTACTAAGGGCATCTACATGTGTGAAAAATCATAAAGCTGAACATCAAAAAAGGGAATTGCATTATATTATCATCTATACTAATAAAAGGGTAATATGCTAATTAGACCAGGAGACCTTCTGGGAGCCTTTCCAGACAAGGCCATGGTGGTGGGGCCAAGGCAGAGGTGGTTAGGGGTGATCAGGCCAGGAGGGGAGGGCAATTGGGGGCGAGCAGGCCAGCAGGGGGCACAGTTGGGGGCAAGCAGTCTGGCAGTGGGGGCAGTTGGGGTGATCCTCCAGGAGGGGTGGGCATTTGGGGCCATTAGGCTGGCGGGGGGGGGGAAGTTGGGGGCGATAAGGCTGGCAAAGGGGGCAGTTGGGCGTGAGAAGGCCACTGTGGGGGCAGTTGGGGGCGAGTAGGCTGGCAGGCAGAGTGGTTAGGGGTGATCAGGCAGGCAGGCAGGTGAGCGGTTAGGAGCCAGTGGTCCCTGATTGCGAGAGGGATGTCCGACTGCCGGACATCCCCCGAGGGGTCCCAGATTGGAGAGGGTGCAGGCCAGGCTGAGGGACACCCCCCACCGATGCACAAATTTTGTGCACTGGGCCACTAGTTTTTAAAATAAAAATATTGACATCATTAAAAAAAACTGTGCACTGAACACAAATGAATTAAAAAATATATACCCTCAGCTCTAACTGATTTGACTCAATGGATTGAGCATCAGCCTATGGACTAAAGGGTCCCAGATTTTATTGAGCCTCAGTTGCATGCTTGATCCCTGACCCCATTCAGGAGGCAATCAATTGATGTGTATGTTTCTCTCTGTGTGTCTCTCCCCCTCCCTTTTACTCTCTAAAAATCAATGGAAAAATATCCTTGGGTGAGGATTAACAATAACAACAACAACAAAAAGATACACCATCAAATAAAAAAAAAGAGAGAACTGGAGTTGCTGTGCCTGTAGCTTAAAAAGCATATTTTAAAACACAAATGTTACAAGAAATAAAGAGGAAATTTCATAATGATAAAAGATCAATCCATCCAGAAGATATAAAAATCATAACCAAATATACATTAACAACAGCACCTCAAACTACATGAAACAAAAACTGACAAAATTGAAGGAATAGACAATTCAACAACAAAAGTTGGTATGTCAATACCATATTTTCAATAATAAGTAGAAAAACTAGACAGAAGATCCTAAAGAAAATAGAATACTTGAACAACACTCTAAACCAAGTAAACCTAACAGACATCTATAGAACACTTGGCCCAACAGCAATAGAATAGGCATTCTTCTCAAGTGCATATGGAACATTCTCCTAGCATACATCATGTGCTAGGACATAGACCAAATCTTAATAAATTTAAAAGGATTAAAACCATAAAAGTATGTTTCAAACTACAATGGAATTAAATTAGAATTCAATAACAGAAGAAAATTTGGGAAATTCATAAATACATGGATATTAAACAATACATTCCTAAGCAACCAATGTGTCAAAGAAGAAAGAAATAAAGGAGAAAATACCTTGAGAGGAATGAAAATGAAAATGCAACATATCAAAACATATGTGACTTGGCAAAAGCACTGCTCAGAGGGACACTTATAGCTGGGATAAAGGAAATAGGGAATAGCAAAACAATAGAGGAAATCAGTGGAAACTCTGGTTCTTTGGAAAGATCAAAAAATAAGAAGCATTAACTGCACTAATCAAGAAACTAAAGGGGGCGGGATAGAAGAATGGAGAAAAGACATATTGCTAAACTTGGGAATGAAAAAGGGATATCTCTACCAACTTCAAGACATAAAAAAGGACTAAAATGGAATATTATAAGCAACTATATGCCAATAAAGTAGACAATATAAATGAAAGGGACAAATTACTAGAAAGACACAAATTGCCGAAACTGACTCAAGTAGACATAAAATGTTTGAGTAACTCTATAACAAGTAAAGATATCAAATTAATAACTGAAAACATTTCTACAAAGAAAAGCCCAGACATAGATGACTTCACTGGTAAATTCAAACATTCAAAAAAATTAAAACCAATTTTTCCCAAACTTTTCCAAACAGTAGAAGAAGAGGAAGTAATTTCTAATTCATTCTATGAGGATAGTATTACACTGATATAAAACTAAGAAAAAAAATCACAAGAAAATTATAGGAGAATATCTCCTATGAATTAAATACAAAAATCCTCAACAAAATACTAGTAAACTGTAACTAGTAACATATACAGTTTAAAGGATCATGCACCAGAACTAAGTGGGATTTATCCTAGGATATGTAAAACACACAATATTAACAGAATTAAAAAAACAAGAACCATACAAAAAATATTTGACAAAATCCAACTAGGAATTGCCTCATCAAACTAAGAATAGTAGAGAACTTCCTCAACCAACTAAAGACCATCTATGAAAATCCCACAGCTAATACCATACTTAATGTTAAAAAACCAAATGTTTTCCTCCTGAAGAAGGTCCAAGACAGGGATGTTTGCTCTCACCACTTCTATTCAACATTGTGATAGAGGGTCTAGCCAGAACAACTAGACAAAAAAAAAAGAGGGAAGGCTCCCAGATTGGAAAGGAAGTAGTAACTATTTTAATTTGCAAATTAAATAATCCTGTATATAGAAAATCCTAAAGGATCCACTAAAAAATTATTGGAACTAATAAGTTCAACAGAGTTACAGGATTCAAGACCAATATATAGAAATCAATTGTATTTCTATACACTACCAGTGCATAACCTGAAAATAAACTTAAGAAGATAATGACTACTATAATAGCATTAAAAATATTAAAATACCTAGGTATAAATTTAGGAAAATAAATTAAAACTATAACTGAAAAACTATAAAACATTAAAGAATTAAAGAAGCCTTCTAAATATATAAAAAGACATCTCATGTCACACATTAGAAGACTTAACATTGTTAAAATGGCGCTACTCCCCAAACTGATCTACAGATTCAACACAATTCCTATCAAAATACCAGCTAGGCCGAAACCAGTTTGGCTCAGTGGATGGAGCATCGGCCTGCGGACTGAGGGGTCCCGGGTTCGGTTCCGGTCAAGGGCATGTACCTGGGTTGCGGGCACATCCCCGGTGGGAGATGTGCAGGAGGCAGCTGATCGATGTTTCTCTCTCATCGATGTTTCTAACTCTCTATCTCTCTCCTTTCCTCTCTGTAAAAAATCAATAAAATATATTTAAAAAAAATAAAAAATCTAACAAACACTTTAAAAAAAAAATACCAGCTAGCATTTTTGCAGAAATGGTAGAGCCAATATTCAAATTCATATAGAATTATAAGGGACTCTAAAGAGCCAAAACAATCTTGAAAAGGAAGAACAAAGTCAAAGGACTTACACTCCCTCATTCCAAAACTTACTATAAAACTACACTAATCAAGACATGTGGTACTGGCATAAGTGTAGACACACAGATCAATGGAACAGAATTGAGAATCCACATATAAATCCCCATGTCTATGGTCAACAGACCTATTCAATGAGGGAAATAATAGTCTTTTCCACAAATGGTGATGGGATAACTGGGTATCCATATGTCAAAGAATGATGTTAAACCTCTACCTCATCTAAATATATCAAAATATTAACTCAAAGTGGATCATATACCTAAATATGAGAGCTAAAACTATGAAACTCTTAGAAGAAAACATGGAAGTAAATCTTCATGACCTCAGGTTGGGCAATCGTTTTTCAAATACAGCACCAAAAGTTCAAACAACATTATAAAAATAAATAAAAATACAAACCTAAACTATATCAAAACTATAATCTTTTATGCTCCAAAGGATACTGTAAACTGTGAAAAAACAGCCCATGGAAAGGTAGAAAATACTTGTAAATCATATCTGATAAGGGTCTTATACTTACATCCAGAATATGTGAAGAGCTCATGCAAATTGAAAATAAAAAGATAAATAACCCAACTCAAAACTGCATAAAATATCTGAATAGACACTTCTATAAAAATGTATAAATGATCCCACTTCTAGAAATATATACTAAGAATCTCAAAACCAATCAGAAAGAATACA